GAAGGGACCTTGGAGGTCTTTTAGTCCAGCCCCCTGCTCAGAAGATGGAATAACAGAGCTGGAAGGGACCTTGGAGGTGGTCTAGTCCAGCCCTCTGCTCAGAAGACGGAATAACAGAGCTGGAAGGGACCTTGGAGGTCTTTTAGTCCAGCCCCCTGCTCAGAAGATGGAATAACAGAGCTGGAAGGGACCTTGGAGGTCTTTTAGTCCAGCCCCCTGCTCAGAAGACAGAATAACAGAGCTGGAAGGGACCTTGGAGGTCTTTTAGTCCAGCCCCCTGCTCAATCAGAATAACAGAGCTGGAAGGGACCTTGGGAGATCTTCTAGTCCAACCCCCTGCTCAGAAGACAGAATAACAGAGCTGGAAGGGACCTTGGAGGTCTTCTAGTCTAGCCCCCTGCTCAAGCAGAATAGCAGAATTGGAGGAAGAAAAGGAGAAGGAAGAGGAGGATGGGGAGCATGAAGGAGAAGGAACTGAGGGAGAAAACGGAAGAGAAGGAGGAGGAGACGGAAGAGGAGGAAGAAGAGAAGGAACAGGAGGAGGAGAAGGAAGAGGAGGAGAAGGGGATGAAGGAGAAGTTGTTGAGGGAGAAAATGGCAGAGGAGGAAGACCATGGGCCCCTCAATCCACTCTGCGCTTGGTGGTTTTCTTGCAGACGTTTCATTGCCCAAAGTAGCTGACATCCCCCAGCACTGATGATGTCACCTAAAAGGGCCTCGAAACGTCTTCGAGAAACCCACCAAGCTCAGAAAGCACCCAGGATCCCCCTGAGATACGAATATTCTCCTCTGCCTCGGCCGCCTCCCGTTTCGAGGGCGCCGTTCGCACCCCAGATGCCCCTGCGGCGACGGCCCCATTACCTGCCCACTCACCTGTTCAAGACCACCACGGCGGCCGAGCCATCCGGGCGGAGGAAGGCGGAGAACTCCAAATCGCAGGAGCTGCTTTTCTGGATCTCGATCCGCTGAGTTCCCTCCGGGAGGAATTTGCTGCGCGGGGAAAGAGGAACAGAAGTGGGACATTCAGCAGGTTCCGGAGGACCGGTAACGGATACTTTTGAGTACTGGCAAATGTCACCCCTGCCTGGCTGGCTCCAGAGTGGGGAGGGAATGGGTGGTGGGCGTGGCCAGGAAAGCCCCCCTGCCACGCCCCCCCAAGCCACGCCCACGGAAAACGGCGGCCAAAACCCACCCCTGATATAGAGGTATAGAAATGTAGAAATGGAAGTATATAAACCTAGACGGAGAAACACAGATAGAGAAATAGAGAGTATATCGAATAATTTGTTGGTAGTTGCAAAGTCCTGTCCGACCCCCTGGACCACGTTCCTCCAGGCCTTCCTATCCTCTTCCCATCTCCCGGAGTTCATTGAAGCTCAAGCCGGCTGCTTCGGTGACTCCATCCAGTCACTTCCTTCTCTGCCGTCCCCTTCTTCTTTTTTGCCCTCCATCGTTCCCAGCATGAGGCTCTTCTCCAGGGGTTCCTTCTTCCTTCTCATCAGGTGGCCTTTCAGGATCTGGCCTTCTAAAGAGCATCCAGGGTGGATATCCTCTAGGACTCACCGGTTGGATGGCCTTGCAGTCCAAGGGACTCACGGGAGATAGATAGATAGATAGATAGATAGATAGATAGATAGATAGATAGATAGATAGATAGATAGATAGATAGATAGATAGA